AAAGCAAAATGAACAGAGGGATGGGGACAGCAGCATATATGCGAAGTAGACAGGAGTGTTTTTTGTTGGTGGACCAGACGTCGAGAAGGTGTGTACAAGTAGGGCTGGTCACTATACCATAAATGCAGTAATTACCATTGTACTTTCTTATTATTAGTAAAATCGATATAGGAAATTATCACATGATAGGTTTAAATGGTAATATGATAATACTATTTAGACTTGTGATATGAGATTAGTATTAGAGATTCATTATTATATTTATCGTATTAGAGGTTCATTATTATATTTATCGTATGGGCTCCTAAATTACTGAATTTGTTGTTGACCCAAAACTTTTTTTTTTTTTTTAACTTCCCAATATTTTTAATGATTTTTTTCCTAAAATGGTGACAATTTTTGTAATTTTGTCTATAATTTGATAATATAAATAGTAATATCTCATTAACCCCGACTCTCTTTTTGTATTTCTTTCTCTACCACCAGAGAGAGAAATTCTCTCTTTTCTCCACTTCATGTCTCCACCAGTTCACAATTTCATCCCATTGGTTCAAGGCAAGGCAAAGGTTATTAAAGCATATGAGCTTGTATTAGGGTTTTGAAATCTCAAAATCAAAACCCTAATTCAAACTCAAGAAAAGGCAGATCTAGATTGTAAAGTGTTGATATTTGAATCTTCATATATCTACGTAAGTTTCTCATCATTTGTCACTTTTCTTACTTATTTAATAAAAGCCCTAGCCCTAATTTCTTTTTTCCCTTGAAATTTTAATCCTAATCCTCAAAAAATGATCATTTTGAGCTTTTAAGATTGAATTTTGAATTCTTTGAATTAATTGATAATGGAGAAAATAAGTTTAAAGATGGTAATATGGGATGATATTGATAAAGCAAGTTTCATTACTATTAAAAACGGTTGGTAGCTATTACCAAAAAATCATCAATTGGTATGGAAGTGGTAAATTTTTTTCATTATCACTTAAAATGGTTACTATCATTTGAGTGCGATACAATAACCGTACCATACCATGCCCAACCCTATGTATAAGGATGTGAATTTTATATTTTTTTTATTTAAAAATATTAATTTTGTTAATTTTTTATTTAAAGATTAATTAAATGATAATATTAATGTAACAAATAGATTTTTCAATTAGAATATTAAAAGTTGATATTTTTTAATAAAAAAATTAAAAGTAAACATCTTTAATAAAAAAAAATTAAAAGTTAATATATTTATTTAAAGATTAATAAAATTACCATTATTAAATAAAAAATAATAAAATTGACATTTTTATTTATAACTTTTCTCACGAGACATCCCTCTCACCCTCGTCTTAGACATTTTTAACTTGTGCAATTAAGAGAAGTTAAGTTTTATTAATTATAATATTTATAATCAA